CCACTATGCTGGTGGGATCCTGGATTTCCAATACTTGGCCTCATCAAGGAGACACAACTGGAGAGATCATCCCTATATTTTCTCCTCTTCCACAGATTTTATGTGTGAGATATCAACGATAAAAATTCTTCTCTATTTTTTTAGATACATCAACCGTTAACAGGTTAGAGATTTTGACCGGCAATCAGAAATCATTTTCAATATCAACCTAGCAATGAATACTAGTCTTTAAATGGCATTTTAATGCCTGGGCAAGCTGGGCAGTCCTGTAAAATATTATTGAGTTTGGAATACAAAAACCTCAGGCAAATCTCAAACAGATAACAACATTAGAAGACAACCTAGCTTTCTTTCCCATCCAAACAAACCTTGACATATGCTTTTTAGCCTCTGAAGATCATCCATATCAACTGCTACTGGCAGCACCCCAAGAGATACAAAATTTTTGGAAGTGTTATCATTTTCAGTGAATTTATACATCCTATCAATTATATGTTGTATGGTGTCCATTTCTTTAAAAGTGAGTGTAGATCTTTCAGAAGAGAAGGATAGTTATGAACCTATTAATTGTATGATGGTGACAATAATTATATCCCTAAATAGTCAATATAGTTATTGCTCCCCTTAAAACCAAAATAATGTGTCAAGTTCACAGATTCTTCATTGTTTAGTGAGACATTAAGAGCCCTACATTTTTTGTTTGGTTCATAAACTAAAATACAAAACGTATCCAATACACACCAAAGTGATAGTATATGGGAAAAGCCACGGTCCCTTCCCTGATGGTGACCTCACATAAACAAAATGTATACAGAAAATGGGATACAGCTGGATATGTAAAACAAAATATAACAAATAGTGCAACACTGTTGGAGGAGGTTTGCAGTGCACCCAATTATATAACAATTCTAAACATATCTAACAATTATACAATGTTACAATTATAAAAATGTCTAACAATTGTTAGATATTTTTATAATTGTACAAAAGGTGGGCTTAACCTATTTTCCAAGCTCTTTTCAAATACCCTTACATCTGTATTGATAAGTGACACAATGCTGAAATCTGAGCATCTAGTTGACTTTCTTCTTTCTTTGGACACTACTACAATAGTTACTTCCAACATTTCTTTTGGAAAAATCTTGTCCTAAAGTAATTTATTCACATAAAAAATATGTTGCTTTTTCTTGTTAAAATCTTGACATATTTACATTTTCTTTAAATAGTTTGAAATCATGCTCATTTTTTTCATGAATAATAAATAATTTTTTATTATACAGTAAGTGGAAGAAAATCACAAATAAATAAGGAACACATCTAGAATAGAATAAAATAAACTGTTAGTTCACCCTTTTCTACCAAAAGTTCCATCTATATAGCAGGAGGTACTATCAACTCTCAGCCTGTTTGCCAACATTCTATCAGGTTTATTAGCTTTTTTAAATGAAAGTCTGTCTACTCTTCTGAGTTTTCTCTTTGACGCATCTGTTCGAAGGTCCTTCATTTCTGCGTGTTTCAATGATTGAGTCACTAGGATATCTTCATCTCACTTATTTTGCTGTTTTTCGTTCATATCTCTCAACTCTGATTCAAGGCGAACAAGCTTAGCCTTTCTAAATCTTCCTCTTTTTGTCGATAATCAGATTAGCGCAAATGTTATCAAAGTAGAGTTCACTGTCACTATTAACACTTCAGTAAGTTTCTTGGTCAGTTAATTATAGTTATTTAACTGAAGTGGTTTTTAATTGTTCCACAAAATGAGAAACATTCCTTCTTGACTCTGTAATGTCAATCATATTTCTTATTGAGTCTGGAAGATGCTCAACTTCAATAAATGTGTAATAATTTCTTTTATATTCTATGATTGTTCAGCGATCATTAATTTTGAATAAAAAGGTGCATAGCAAATAAAGGGTTAATTACAGAACTTTGCTGGTGTGCCACCTTTTATGGTTTTGGACTAATTCTCATGTTAAAGTCATTATGTCCTCAGGGTTTGACTAAGAGATGAGCAGCACTAACATTAATAAGCCCTTAGAGAGAGTACTGTTGCCTCTGATTAGCGATATGTCTTGGCTGCTGAAAGCAAACAAAACATGGCTCAAAAACACAACAGTGCAGACACCAAATAGGCAAATACTGAATATCAGGCAGTCAGAAACGCAACAGTGGCATCAGTAAGTACTAAGCACCAGTCACTACAGAAGAGATTATGCAAAAAAATTTTAATATTTTTCCTGTATCTGCTATTCTGCACATGTTTTCCATTGTGACATAGAGCTTTCCTGTTATAGGTGGCAAATTGTGATGTTTTCAACTATCATTGAAGGAAGAGAGAGAAAGATTTGGACCATTTAGCAGAGCACAATCAAACAAATATGTAGCTAAACTTGCAGTCAGGGTAAATGGGTAAAATAAAGGGGGGGATACAAACAGTAAATGATGGGAAGGGATAAAATGTATGGTTAATTTAAAAAAAGGATAGGTACAAAAGGAACAGGGGTTAAAATGAATAACAGGGCACAACTTGAATATGAAGTGTCTTAAATGAAGTAAAGAGTATACAGTCCAAAATAAAATAGAAGATATATAGATGAACTAGAATTAAATGGTGGCAGAATGGGGATAATTTCAAATCCAGGAAGGCTGTGTATACCTAACCATGCATAGAGTATAAGGGTGCTGCTGGAACAAACTGATACAGCATGCACAATCCAGTTCACTCACTCGACTTAACACCAGCTGGTTAGAGCAGAGTATTTCTGTGCAGCTTTTTGATACTCGTCCATGCCACACAGAGTTGTATTGTTCAGTAGCTCTGGGTTTTCCTCCTTTATATTACTTCTTAAATTTTTTTGTTGTGGATCAAATGACCATGACCACCTCGTCATTAAAAGTCACTGTAATGTGCGGTGTGTGTGTGAGCTCCAAAGCAACAAAAACTCACACAGTGTCATCTGTATCAGATTATCACAAAACTCCACACCATTAAAACTTCCTGTATGTGTGCATATAGGTAATGTAGTGTGTGTTTATGTGTGTGTATAGGGGATGTGGTATGTGTGTGCATGTAGTGTGTGTATCTGTCTATATATTTGAAGAGAGTAGGGGAGCAAATACATTTTTATTATATTAAAATAAAGTATATTTTCCTTTTGGCCAGGGGATGAGGACATTCAGATCCCTGGTGGTCCAGTGGTGAGACCTTCTGGTTTGCACCTTCAGGTAATGCAGACCTTGTATATTTGTTATGCTTTCCTTCCAACAATTTGGAGTGGAAAAAATCTGGAAGGGATGAGCGGGACCCATCAGGGGTGTCGCCAGTGACTATAACCACACCACTAGTGATGTCCATAATAGGCAACAGGGCATGCCTGGAAACAGGCCAACCATCTAACTTGCCAGGCCAACCCACTAACTGGTCTGCTCCCAGTCTTCAGAACTATGCAGGGAGCACTGAAGCATGGTCCTAGTGCAAACTACAAAGCAAAAGCTCATTTTATGATGCACAAGCGCTTTGCTACCTGAGAACTGATCCATAGATCCCCAGATTTGACACCATGGAATGGAAGCATGGCAGGACCCCAAAATTAGGACCTTGAAATGGGGACAGTTGGAAGGGCAACATTCCAGTACACTGCCATGCTGTCAGTGATAGTGCAGAAACTTGTGGAATCTACAATGTCTGCCCCAGCAAAGGTTTAGATCAAAAGGTCTCCCAGTCATCCCCCTATAGTGGATGACTGGGAGACACACAGAGAAGCTATGAGTACAAATAGACACACAGAGGAGTTTGGGCAAAAGGAGACAGACAAAGGAGCTGGGAGAAGTAAAAGACACACAAAGTTGGCAATTTTTTTTTTTGGGGGGGTGGGCACAAGTAGCTGGTCTTGCCTACGGCGCAAAATAGTCTTGTACTGGCCCTGCAATGTATGACCATATATATATTCCCTTGATAAAGAAACGCTGTTGTTTTTGCCCCAATAAAGCTGCTATTATTTGTTATCCTGGAGTGGCTGAACCATTATTATTTCTGCATATATATCCCCCACCATTATTTTTGCCTAAATCTATTATAAACTGTCATATTTTGTGAGCTTTGAAGCAGGTGTTAAAGTTGAATAATTTAGACCTAATTTGCCTAACTTGTATTTTGTATCAGTTGGTCCCAGCAACACCCCTATACTACAGTATGTGTATGTTTCAGTGTGGTCTTAGTTTCATTTGTATATATGCTTGGTTTTGCACCCCTCTCTGTCACAGGTACCTTATTCCAGTGCCCTATTTAACTTTGACCTGCAGAGAGTCCCAGGAGGAAGCATTTCCCAAGTAAATTGATTAATCACATTAGAGCAGACAATGGGTTGGTAGGATTGGACCTGCCAAGAATGGGGTTCATTAGCATTGTGGCAGGCTTACGCAATGTATGATCACATATTGTAACTAAGCCCACATTATATTTGACAGTCATGTATTTTTAATGTCTATTACATGTTGTGAGCCTTGATGGTGGTGTATGTATATTTATTTAGAGCTATTTAAACATATTTATAATATATTTATCTCTACGTTTCCTGACATCTATAACATTTCAGTCTAGCTTGTAAAATTATATATTTGACTGTATATTTTACAGCAGGCATAGGCAACCTTCAGCACTGCAGATGTTTTGGACTACACCTCCCATGATGCTTTGCCAGCATTGTGTGTTAGAGCATTATGGGGGATGTAGTCCACAACATCTGGAGTGCAGAAGGTTGCCTATCCCTGTTCTACAGTATTCCACAGCTCTGATTACACAGCATATTCTGCCCTTGAGAACTATAAAAAAAACAACATGTAATACAGCTGCTCCCTGGACTCCTACCTTGTGCTGGCAATGTTATAGTTGATCATTGTGGTTACCACGGTAGCTGTGACATCCATTCCCCCAGGAGCTATGTGGTTAGATGTGTTTGACTCTTTTATCCTGACAGACTCTGCTACATTTCAGAGCTAAGATGACAATGCACAGCACCATGGGGGTGCTCTACACCATCTCTGAGGGGCTACAAGGAGAGAGTCCCTCCATATCCCCCCAGAGTGAAGAGAGTGCCACATCTGTGGTGGAGCAGGATTCCATAAACAAACAGGATGGAAGTCTAGCCTTAAAAAATGGTACTCTCAACAAAGGAAAGACACATCCACGACTGGCACAATTGCGAGGACAGATTCAGGCACAGGTCAGAGAGCTCAGTCCCAGGAACCAAATGATTCAGCTGGTGGATAAGGTGACTCATGTAAAATCAGGTACCAAGGTACTCACAGAGGGAAACAAGACATCAGGAGCAAAAGACAGCACAAAACTCTGCCATTGTTCTAGCCCAACATGTTTTGCCTCTGAACTGGAGGGGAGACTTCATGTAGAGTTGACTGCACTTCGGCTGGAGGTAAAGTCTAGTTTGGAATCGTTGAGAACAGAACTAGGGGACGAACTGCGGGCGCTACATAGAGATGTTAAAGTGTGCTGTCATCACTGTCCAGCCAATAATGCTGATCATTCAAAAGCAATTGAGAAACGACCTGAGTGGAAAAGTGTCTTCAAGAAGGTTAGCCGTAAAGAAGGACAAGAGCCCTACTCACCAGTCAGATTGGACGGGCAGATTAAAGCAAGATCTGTGCCTTCACTGGCCCCCCAATCAGGCCCTAGCAGGAACCATGTGCTACTAAAGGCCATGACCACGATTGCTGCAAAAAATGCTCTTATGTCCAGCATAGGGCAAAGATCAGACTCTGATCCTGTGCTACCCTCAACTGGGAAGCAACAGCAAAAGCATAAGACTGCAGTAAAAGCAAAAGATGCAACTGCACAGGGACAATGCAATGGGAACTGGGGCAGAAAACTAATTAATGGAACTGTTGTCCCTCTCCCACAAAATGGGATTCATGCTGATAAAGCTCATTGAAGGTCCACAGAGGATAGGATGGTTGGTCACACACTTTTATGGAGCCCAGACAGTAGTTGCCAGGGACCACTGTAATGGAGATTGGAAATGAAGAGAATTAAGAGGATGGAAAGAGCCAGTGCATGAAAACGCTAAAGCTTATTTTACACCTTTCTGCATTGTATTCATCGGGCCTTATTCATGAGAGGGTTCATGGGTTAAAAAGATACATCATATACTCTAAACAAACTGTTTAGTTTACCCAGTAAAAGATATTTGGATAATTTCTCCAGTAGAATCATATAGGCTTAGATATCATTTTACTCATTAAGGAAAAACATGTAAACAAATAACTGCCAGAATGCAGAAATATTGTTACTTTAGGCACATCCTAATTTAATCCAGAATTACTTTATTATTGTCATCTTGTCAATATTATTTTTTTTTAACAAATTCTAGCCATTGTATTTTTCTGTATATGAAATGACTAAACAGATGCAATGTTTATTTTATGAGCTAGTATGAGGCCAGATTATTAAAGTTATTTTTTTTTAACCCTAAACTATATCATAAAGACAGATTGGCATGTATCAGGATAATAACACAGTTTTAAAATATTTGTGATGGTTAATGGAACATACCTAAGAAGAGAATACATACCAATATACAATTCAGGAAAGAAGACTCTGTTGAGAGAGGAAGGTTTCCCAACAGTGTTCTCAAGAGCCTCAGAGAATTGTTATTTAAGACTGTGCCTACACTAGCACAGATTAGCTACATAGTGATTATTTGATTTGTGGTCAGTTATGTATATCTGGAAATTATGCATTACTTGGGGTATATGTTATGTGAACAGGGCACAAAAATTAAAGTAGAGTAAATAGATGAGCTTCATTAGCGAGTGCAAACCAAGCATTGCAATGTTGTTAAAGAAAAGATAAACGGTCATCAACTACAGAAGAAAATATTCTCAGCTACTTTCCTATTTTAAAATAAAACAAAAAAATAATCTTTAAATGACTCTGGTGTTCTTGGTGTTAGACAGTAGTAATGTACTTCCCTAGTAGTGTATCTATGAAGCTGTAGTCCCCGGGTGAAAAATATTTTTCCACACTTCTCCAAAGTTATTTATTCTACTTCTACATAATCAGTATTTTTATGTCTCTAAAGTAAGGAGAACATGTCGAATCATGGGCAAATATCCATGTTGCAATAAAAGAGCCTAAGAGGTTTGGTGGTAGTCTTGTACACAAATCGGTTTTATCTGGTACGAATAAATCCAATGTGTTTTAATCTGTGCCCAAACTAATCGAGAAAATTCCAGATGGATTGATTAGTTTAATCTCAGAGTAAAAGGCATTTGATTTTTCTTTTTGCCAGCAGTATCAGTTTTCAACAAGTCTACTTAGAGGTGTAAATTTTTTAATTATAGGTGCAAGTAGTTCGGCAATATAATAGATGTAAGTAGAGTACAGTAATTATGGATGGGCTTCTTTTTGTTTAGGTGTACAATTCAATATACGAGAAGAGGGAAAGCTCTGGTGTTTTTCACTCGAAATGCTGTGGACACTACCTATTTATAAGGGTTTTTAAACCCCCAGTAACGTAACAGAAAATGTTTTTAGTCTCAAAAATATTCTAATTAACTTTCCTGGTCATTGTAGATTTGTTGAATAATTCTGTTTTGTAACAGTCAGATTATACAGTACATACCAATCTTTGCATAGATCAGGGGTAGGAAACCTTTTTGTAGTACTGTGCCAAAACGAGATATTGAATTCCCATGGCGTGCCGGTTCTATTGTTTTAACTTAAGGTGTGTATGTTGCCGTATTCTGCTTGTGTTATTTACAGATGCTACAGTTGCCTTGTAGTGTGGTATTTATGCATTTGTGAGCTGTTATATTGTATACGTTCATGAGTAGTTTGTGGTATTGTGCATGATACCTATGAATGTGGGCTGTGTATGGGGGCTGCTTGTGGAATTGTCCACATGGATGCTATGTCACATTGGGTGTTTGGTGGTGTATATGTGTGGGCTGCTTGTTGGGGTGTATGTGTGTGTGTTGGTATATGTGGATTGTCAGTGGTGTTATGTTTGTGTCTGTGTGTGTGTTAGTGTGTGGGCTGTTTGTATTATATGTATGAGGGGGAGGCTTCTTTTGCAGCTCTATGTATATCTAGCAGTGTGGGTAGCTTCCCTGTGGTCCAGTGCTATCCAGGTACAGGTCAATGGCAGGAACTGCAATAGCTGCTGTGAGCTGATCTACTCCAGTGCGGATTCTCGTTCACAAGTGCCGCAATGCGTAAATTGAGGATTGTCCCTCACCACCTGCAAGCACTTGGTTTGCACTAGCAGATATCTGAAGTCCTACTGGGACTCCTGATAGGCCAGAGCGTGTTTGTCTCTCTGGCAGTCATGTGCCGTACAAAGGTACTTTGAGTGCCATGGTTTGCTGACCCCTGGCATAGATTAACCCTCAATCACTGTATTTCCAGGGTCCAATGAGCACAGTGCTGGCTATCCCATCTCTGGCTATCCCATCTCCTTTAGTGCATCTCCCCATATCCTGCCAGTAAATCTTCATATGTCTCCTAGTTTAGTTGCATATGCCCCTAGTACAGGGGAGGCAGATTTGTGACATCATAACCCTCCCACCTTCCGGTAGCTAGATAGTGTATCCAAAGCAGGTACCCCAAACAGCCTCACTTCCCAACCAACAAGAGGGGACTTTAAATAGCAGGTGTTTCTGTGCAGAATGAAAGTGCTGCCCATTGCTACAGATACTTGGGGATGCCAGCACTGGATGGGGATTGACCCTCCAATTGCCTCCTTTGTCAGTTAGATCTTCTGGGACCACTGAAGGGAGATTAACCAGATGACATGTAGGGTGGAAAGGTTAGAGAAAAAACTTGTTATTAACTAAAGTGAGAATTCAAACTGAATTTAAAATTTTAGAACAAAATGGCTGAACTTAAAAAGAAATTCTCTAAGTCAGTATACTTTCAGTTCAAATACGCTGGCCTTAAAATTCTAATAATCTAACTTCACTGAATAACCATAAATGAAGCTAAAGGGGAAGGAGAGTGACGTTGGAGATATGTCGAATAAAGTTCTGCCTTATAGCTTAAGAAGGGTTGGGAGGGAAGACTGATGCAGAGGCCAGAAAAACTGGATACTTGTCAGCTAAGCATTCTTTTCTTGTCTACTCAAATACGAAATACCATTTTACAAGCTGATAATTTACTGCTATTCATGATGCAGGTGAAACCCATTAATCTTGTTTTTTTCAGGAGGTGCACGCTATCGATGCTTTATGGAAATAATAGAGTGCTGAAAACTGGATTTATAAAGGGTGATTGTAATTCTATTCCGGAGACTTGCAGTCATTAAAAGGGGATTAATATACCAATACACTAAAGACTGGCAGTGGTGACATTAAAACCCTAATGCTGTTGCTTGGCAATGAAGGGGTTATCACAAAGCACTGGAAGAACGTGTGATTAATTTACCGGGTCAGATTTCAGGCTGAAAAGATTTTCTTAGACATAAGACTAAATAAATAAATAGGTTATGCAACAAGTGCCTGCGGAAGTGTGATGTAATCAAGGAAAAGAGAATCCAGAATTTCTGCTACAGCAGTCAGTTGGTGTATGAAGCATCTCTAGGAAAATACATTTTTATGAAAAAAGTGAATTAACACGTAATTTGCTTTTTTTCTTCGTACATGTCAGTGGGAGAATAGGGAAAAGAGGTACGGGAGAATACCCAGGTCATATAAGCAAAAGGTGTGTCATCTTTATGTAATTTTGTTTTAATTAGGTTTTTTTACGTGCATAAATATTCAAAATAAAGTTATTCCAAGATTCCGTCAATTAACACCCATGTGAAAAAACTTGATAGTACATATAATAATTACTCTTTTAATAATAACCATTAAAGAGCCAAACAAATCTATAACAGAGATACAAATGGGGTTGATATAATAACAGTGTGTATTTGTTGAGAAAATTAGCTTTCAGAAACACCCCAAACACCATAACCACTACAGTATTCTGTAGTGGTCATAGTGCCAGGACTGCCTTGGCCCCACTCTACTGTATCGGTTTGACTTTTTACCTGGGGTTTAGTGGGGGCCATTTCCTACCTCCAGTACCATTTGAAAGAGAGCCGGAAGCTCATTCTTAGGAGTTTCCATTGGCTTTCCTGAACTAAGTCCTGCAGTTACAGACAAGTTGTTGTTTAACTTACATTACATAAAGCTCAACATAACATAGACATATTGCGCTTACAATCTAGCAGTAAGTGAGGATGACGTACAATAATAGTAAGCGGGATGCAAGGATGAGGAAGTCAGATTGTGAGGATGATCTCATTGGGTTACAGTTTACCAGGTCTTCATTTGGAGAGTGTTCATTGATTATATTGCTCTAAATAACATCAGGCTGCATTGATATTGCATTTAGTGCAGTTCTTCGTTCCTTGATGCAATTGCCCAAAAAGTCTGAATTTTCTAAAGTTCATCATAAACCAAAAAAAAAGCTTCTCAGAAAAGCAGAAACGCTTGAGTGATCATGCTCCCCAGGCACAGTGTAATGATCGAGGCGATGACAGTATTGGAGTGGCTCACGGTGGCATCTTTGGAAGCCCAGACAGTGCGTCCATTCAGTGGTTGGGGTGGACGAAAATTGCTGGTCATCTTGATAAGTTTCTCATTGTTGGCAGAGAAGTAAACTGTATCAGTAAAAATCTGAAGCTGCAAACATATTACTAAGAGTTATTATCTGTTGCTAGTGAAGCATTGAAAAGTAATGGAACTCTATGATATAGGCAAAACATTCATTTTCATCACATTCCAGTGTTGAATAATATATGTACATTAAGATGTACTGTATGAATACTTATGTCATGATTCATAAACTGCAGTATACTAAGCATGTGCTAACAACATACATACTGAATGTTACCCTTAAAGTGGATATGTCATTTCTCACTATTTTTAGTATTTCCTAAATATATATTATATATGAAATATTTGATTAAGACTTTTTAAAGAATTTTTTATTTAAATTACAAGGCAATCCAAAGATACCATATTGACTACTTTGTCTTATGGTAATGCCTGAGATTGACAAAAGGTAGCGTTCCACAGTAAACTTTTGTCCGATCCCAGCAGCCGTCACAAATGATAGCCGTAGGATTCCGACTCTAGCTATGGAAGATCCCACAATCTCACAGGATCCTGCATAGACCTCCCTGTTGTACTCTCACACATCGCAAGAGACCAGAGTTGACATGGCACCTGACAACTTAAGCACCAGGAACCGAAGAGGACACAGGACTAAGAATGTACCTCACATGCCCTCCGCCACCACTGATCCCACATCGGACCAGTCCACTTTGGGCGTCTGTACGAAAAATATGCAAAGATCACCTAAAGTGACAGATCCACTTTAAATTTCATTTTCTTTGGTTAATGGTAATTTTATCAAGTGAAAATAAAAGTTTTAGCCAGTGCATGCTTTTATAATATAACCAGAATGCTTTATTTCAAGTTATCCTTCTTACCTGATTATGGCTGATTTTAATTGATTCCTCAAAGACTGTCCAGATTACAGCTTCTGAGCAATCTGGAGTGGTGAGCGAACCCTGATATCTGTAGTAGCGAGACAGCTTTTCATGACTTGGGAGGAGGGATTCAAGCGGAAATGTTGAGGACAAATCCACAAAGGCACCTAAAATTTGAGCATTAAGAAATACTGAAGAAATATATAATATTGGCTAGAGGAAAAGGTGGTAGAAGGTAAATATGGGAGAATTAGTAAAAAAAAGAGAGAGAGAGAGAGGTGGTGACTCAAGAGAATGCCTTTGTGTTCAGGGACACGGAGTTTATAGATGTTAGGAAAATCGACACCAAGGAATAAACAATGTGATGCATTCAAGTGAGAGAGACCTCAAATTGAGCAGTTTTACAGCCCCTTCACATTTTGCAACTGTCGTAAAATCACCTTTATTAAGAATAACCATCCTGTAATTGTGACATAAACTGCTGTTTTGTTTTATTTTAATTGTGACTGGAGCCACAATGGGGCACCATAAAGTAACAAAGAGTAATGCAGGTGAGAAGTGAAGGAGAGCTGATAAAAAAAGGCAAAATAAGAGAAATGGTCAATAAAGTCTACACTGACCTTCCAAAGACACATTCTTCATAGCTGGCAGCAGAGTGTTATAATAAGGATTATCAGTCTCACCAACCTGCAAGAAATGTGTTTTTCATAATTGTCTGGAGGAGGAGGATACCTCATGGTTTGGAAATATGCCAGTAATCCTTACTTACTGTGAAAAGGAACCCAAGCACGGCCAGGCCCTCGGGGTCCTTCTTTGCTTCAGCAATGCTATTATACTTGGCATTCATGTGAACAATATGTAGCTGTAAATCATGCAAAGAATTACTGAGAAACCACTGCAAACGTCAATTAACTAGCTGTTAAGAAGGTAACTGGACAGAAATCTGGCAAAGTTTAGCTAGTTAACCATTAACCAACAATATTTGTAATGTAGCAGATCTATATATATATATATTTGCTAGCAGAATGTGAATGTTATCTTTATCACTAATCTGGCACATGATCAACATCACCAATGAATGAATTTAATTTGCATTGAAGTCTGTTTCACAGTCACAAAAAAAAAATCTGAGTTTACCAACTTGTTTGACATGTTTGCTTGTTAGCATAAAATGTATACAACCAACTATGTTTGTCTACACATGTGACTTGGTTATAAATAAACTTTTACTGCTGACCACTACATAGCGATTTATCGTTTAAGTTGATATAAGCTCTAGCATAGTGACTCATATCAATTTAAAACAATGATTGTGTGTGGCAGGTTAAGGCAGAATACAACCACTACCTTTTATTTATTAGCAGGTATATGTGTGGTGCAGCAATAATGTAGACTAGTGGGAGAGCTCTAACAAATCATGAGATTTTGTCTACAAATACGGTGAGAGATAAACTGAAGCATTGTCACTTAGTATGTTTACCACAGCAAAAATTGTATTACAATTACTGATTGCCAAGGTTCATGGGAATTGCTTAACACGGTGACACCATTGTCACATACATAATAAGATTATGGCATAAAAAAACATTGCTTGAGTGGGCACCTAACTCCTTCAGGAGGACATCTGCCTCTTCTCTCATGACAGGGTAATCAACCACTGGAAGTATGTTATAAAGAATATTTTGGATATTCACCAAACCAGGAGTTTTATAGAATTGATAAGAAAATATAAAAAAAAAAAATAAAAGAATCAGATTTGCTGGAAAAAAAATATATTTTTTTTTTTTCTAATGTTGCCATCTTACCAGTTCTTTGCAATTTTATGTTCAACCAAAGCAAGTTAAAGAGAGTAATTTGGGTAACACTGTAATGGTGTTGCGTTCTTTATAGCACAGGGTCTTTAAAGAGCCATTCATAATTGTGTAGTTATTAGTGTCACTTTTTGGAAGATACTTGGGGTGGGAGGTTACCCATGTTTAATATGGACTGGAACCCCCCTCATTCTGAAGTTCTCAAGAAAGCAAATCATAAGGGTAGGTCATTAACATGTTCACATCATCACTATATGTCCAAGTTATTCAAAGAGACCACTCACATATGTTAGTGGGTACACTGCTGGTTGAAGGTTCACAGGCAAAGTAAAACAAAACGCCCCTCAGTGTTATCCCAAGCATAATTATAAGCATCAATAGAATGACATTATATAAGGGCAATTAGTGATATTGTGTAAACAATGTCTATTAATGCCAGACCAGCAATCAGAGCCTGAGATTGTCTGGGTAATGCTAATTATGCTGCTGCAGGGACCTGGAAATACAAAATCTGTATATATCTGGATTTATTCACTAAACAGGAAATTGTGATTAATTGACAAGGGAATTAAATATTCCACACCAAAATAGCTGAATTGAAGAATTTATTCCAGCTAAGATATTTAGTCCCATAGTTTTCATTTTCCTTGTCAATTATCCACCATTGCAGGTTTATTAAATACAATACAGATTGGGAACCGTGCACACACAAAAAATACTGTTTTAAAATTAACATGGCTACATAAAATCATCTATTTTAGCAAACAAATATGGGGTTTCGGTTAGACCATATGGCCAAATTGTGTTAAGCCCAACACTACGTCACAATAGTGGTATACTGTGACATAGTGGTAGGCTTAATACAATATGGCCATATGGACTAACCGAAACCCCATATTTGTTTGCCAAGATAGATGATTTTATGTAGCCTTGTAAAACTTAAAATAATATAATTTTTTGTGTGTGCCCTGTTCCCTGATCTATGTTTTAAACATATTTTGGTCTCAATGGCATCAACACTACTTAGGAATGCTTGTTCCAGGTTTGTGCTCCCAATTCCACATTTTTCTTATTACACATGTCTGAAATATTTTTTTTCCAAAGCTATAACTATCTCCTAGACCAAGGGCAAGCAACCTTTGGCACTACAGATATTGTGTACTACATCTCACATGATGCTTTGCCATCATTATGACTGTAAGAGGATTATGGGAGAAGTAGTCCACAACACCTGGAGTGTCCAAGGTCGCTTATTCTTGTTTTAGACATTCCAAAAACACATTAAAATGAGGCAAATGCTATAAATATCTCTTCAAGTCATGCCGAACTAGCTCAATGAATATACACTATCACAAAAGTCTTGATTATACCAAATAGCATTTCTCTATCTGCTTGAAAATATCAATGCATATCCAACCCATGATTGTGTGTTGCTTCTTTGTTTAGCAAGAATATTAATCACCTCCATAGGGAACTGTTTTCTATCCATGGTGTGTTCTGATCCATCACTCTTGGGGCTCCCCCAGTGGAAGTGAAACTGCAGGGCATGATATGTGTTGGGGAGCCCTGCACCACTGATATTGATGTGCCCCAAAATCACCTCTCCTTCAAGACTCAGAAGAACTGTGGATAAAAATAGATATATTGCGTGTAAAAACTACCTAAATATAGTAACAATGGGGGGCCATGAAAGAATAGGAAATGCTAAAAGAAGTGGAAATTTAGCCCTGGCAAGTAGAAATCCCCCCTTGCCTCCCTACCCCCCTTCTTCTGCCAACACAAAAACATATTCTAAGAAATGGTATGGTCGTGACATTCACTTACAAACCTAATTTTTAGAGTAAAACTCTACCGACTACTGCAAAAACTAGGGAGATTCCTGAGTTCAAGAGGTCCACCACTAGACGTTCATCTTTTCTAAAATAAATAAATACACAGATGAGCTATGCATGCCTATGGATTTATAGAGCTCCTAATGTCTAGTCTTACATTTCCTTTATATTTAGGTTAGAGTAAAAATGAGATAATCAGTCTTTCAGTCAATTTCTCTAATTCACCTCTGCATGACAGGAATATTCCTAAAAACATATCCAATCAAGAATATCTGAAACAAAAACTGGTTTGGTAAACACACATACCATTTAGACTAAACTGGCTTGGAATGGAATGGCCCATATTTTCCAAGTTATGGAAAACCTGTTATACTATTGCTATTGCTCAGTGGGTTTGGACGTCTATACATTGTGTTTTAATATGGATCTGCATAACCCCTGCGCTCCCATGTTAATGTGTGCATCACCCCCTCATGCTGCTGTATGTATTATATGAGCATTCACATCATACTCCATATATGTGTTCATGAAACAAACTATGCAGCTACATATCTGAACCACTGGTTGAACTAGCAGCTGGATCATAAGATACCGACCTGTGCCTAGAGGGATAAGACAGCGAAAAGCAGAGTGAGTAGGTACCCATGGGAAACAACTACTAGTGAAGTCTTACCTGAGTGTCCATCATTCATGAGCCTCCAGCGATGGGAAGGAGCGTGATTATACCCTTGGAATATGATTTCCCCTAAATTGCTATCTCTCTTCACTTTGGATTTCTCAATATTGATGGGAGATTGCGTATTGCCCCCACAGTTGTGGTTTATGTCCTTCCAGTGGGATGGCCCTGGTACATATAAATTTCGTACAATGAATCCTTTACATACGTATCTAAACATATCCCTACATGCAATACATCTCTCACACCAAGGTAAAAATAAAAGTAATGTTTTCATGCAACAGTCTCATTAAAGTCGACTTGGCACGTGATAACTTTTGGTTTTAAAGCCTTAGTTAGCATGTACCTGTAATGGTCCATTAAATTTGCAAATCTAGTAAGTCAGCTCTCCTAAATTCTAAAATTACCCAATTAATCATCTGACCTTTATGAATATTAAACTGGTAAATGAGGACAATGTTTAACCTTTATTCATAATTAATCATGGTTTGCCTGCATGTAATCACATTGAGTTATACAGTGCTGGTACTTTCAGATACATTAAACTCTCCCATTGAGTTTCCTTTAGTTTCCACATTCTGTGGTGTGCAATATATAAATATATTTTGATAATAAATATAATACACAGAAGTCAGCAGGGTTGCTGATGGCTTCAGAGGCGAAGTGAGCTCCTGCAGCAAGGAGTCTCTGCACTGGAAATGAAGTGAGCAATTTACACTTCCCTTAATGTTTTCATTAGCAAACGGGGGGATGGACAATGGCCCTTAAAATAATTGTTATTTTCGGGACTCTAGGTTCCCTGTAAATCAGTAGTTTCCAACCCAGTCCTCAAGTACCCCCTAACAGTCCAGGAGTAAGGGATTGCCCAGTTGTGTCTAAGGTGTTCTTAGAAAAAAAAATCCCTTTAGAGATAACAGGGTAATCCCTAAATCCTGGACCAGTAGGGTGTACTTGAGGAGTGGGTTGGGAACACCTGCTTTAAATGCACTACAATAGTGACACATAGGGATCTAGAAACACAACAGGATTTATAACTCACCCATATGGCAGTGGTTTGTGTAGGGAAGTTGGCATCAGTGCTAATTGTATTCATATCTGAATGTTCATGGTCGTGGTCATGTTATTTAAATTCTTGATCTACATGTGTTCATGTTATGACACTGTGAAAACCTGTTCTTCCTGGAGCCCCACAATAGTGTAGACAGTATGGCCTAAATTATTAAATCTCAGTATACTCACCACAACCGGGATTCTGAGAAACGTAACACCAATGGCCTGTGCACAGGGAATACATAATAAGCAATCTAAGCGTGGTAAAGCAAACATCATAATTTTTAAATTGTGTCTATAGAATAATAGATATCACATCATCATCATCAATATACAAAACAAAAACAGTGCAAATTTTGGATACATATTAGCGTGTAAAATAGTAAAATGTATATTATACTATTGGAGGGGATTTATCATGTGTTGTCAAAATACATCTAAACGTGTTTCAAGGTGATAGCACCATTATTAAAGCTCTGCCTCACTGATCTTTCAAAATCTTTTCTGTTCATGTTTTTAGCCTAGTAAGTGTACAAATTCTCAAATATATATTAGAAATCCCTAACAGATTGACTGGAAGATATATAAATTAGGTAAAAGTCTGACATGTTACTGAGAAATTGTTCTTAGCAAAATAATGGGGCAATAGACCAATGACAGATAAACACAAAACATCTCAAGTCTCCATATTGTTTGGAAGTTATATATTTTAGTGTACTGAAAACTATGTTATAGCCATTGATTTGCTGCAACTATATTATCCCAGGGAAATAATGATACCTTCCTTATAGTTTACTAGCTGTTACTGCTACTTATCTTGTCTAATTTAAATAACTACTAAGTATTGCAGTGGTTATGGTAAACAATGTCTGTGGGTGCTCTACCAAAATTATATATCTAACTGGGTTTGTAGATTAATAATAAAAATTTTAAAAATTGCATTTCAGGAGCCTGTTGCCTAGACCCTTTACTGCAGCTTGATTACAGTGTACGTGAACTTTCATATTTGCCTGTATAGGGCAATGGAGGACAGTGTATGTGGGGGGGGTATGTTGGGCCAGCACTCTAAGCCAATCACAGCTACCTAAAGCTGAGCAGGCCAATACATTTGTCCATTGTGGAGGATCTGCGCTATGAGCTCAATGAAACCCCCAGTTATTGTGAGAGTCTCAATGCACCATAATCACTGAAGTGGTGTAGTAGCTATGAAGTTTAGAGTGCTTCTTCAATTAAATAAATTTGATTCGTGTCAATAGCAATTACATATTCCTGCAATTTAAAATAAAACAATACAGTTCTTTCTAAAAAATACTGGATATGGTACTTTCATATTTTCCTAAATAAACTTTCATGCCTTTTAAAATCACTTATGCATTTTACATGTTAATATTCCTATATTTATTGCTATCATCAGCTTAACAACATTCAATTATCTAAATTAACGCAGGAAATAAAAACTTGGAAAATGCTAAATTCTTTCAGTGGCATTTAATTGTTTCAAAAAGATATCCAAGCTATAAATTAAGCTTGATCCTCGATACCTTGTGCAATAAAGGACCAAGAAGGGGTGAAATAAAATATAATCAGATAAATTATATTATATTATATAATACATATATAATATAAATTATACATTATATTAATATTATATAATCATGTCTGCGTAGTTTATTCTTAAATTTCTATAAGCAGATAAAAAGTTCCAGGAAACTGGTGAATTTGAAGTTCTATATATTGCTCAAATTGAAATAAAAAATAATTGCTATAAGAGTAGTATAAGTATTTAAAAAATAAATTAACAAAGGAAAGTTGCCAAGAAGAATTACATTATGCTTATATGCTTAACATAAAATTAAACTATAATGTCTCACCTGCTCCAGAGGCATGCAGGACCATAGGCAAACTAAACAGTGTCGCACACAGTTGGTACATCATTGTGTTACCCTCGTACTAATTTCTCCACGCAGAATGGCGTGGTACCACGAATAGTTGTCCTTTATTTATTTCTACAAACACTCAGTGCTTAACTGAACGCAGCACCTCACAGTTAAATATTTATGAAGATCCCAATTTAATTTTCTATTATTTTTCTTCCCCTTGGGAGGGGTTGGAAAAAGTAGTTGGACTCCCTCTGAGATGCTGAACTAGACTCTTAAATATTTTTTTCTAAAAGGCTTATGTGGGAGGGTCATGGTTTAAGAGAAGGTGCACACACTCCTGTAATAGGCAGCCTATTCCAGTCTGGTCGGACCTGTGAATTTGTTTGTAGAGGGCACTGGCCCATGTTACCACCAATTAAACATCTAACACAAGGAAATTGCAGAATTGTCATTGAACTGAGCTAAGCTTCTATTTTGTATGTGACCTTCACATAAAATAAAATTAAAAAACACATACAATGCCAGTGAGGGACTTCAGAATGTTTATTCACCACAATGATCAATAGCATTTGTATTTGACAATACAGCGGCAAAATCTACTTTAAAGATTCTGATAGTATATTGTGTTTTATGAAATATTTTTTTCAGTCACATTAAGCATGATGTTTACACATTAAAAGCATTATGTTTTGGATTTTCATCTTTGTTTTTTTTTTTTAAAACATTTAAATGGTTATATATTAAATATTAAATGGTCACAGGTCACGGTTTATTTCAAATGTCCAGTAATGCAAAGAGTTAAAATCGTAGATATCTGTGCTGCAGCACCATTACATAATTACAATGTTTGTCACTGCACTCAATAGGTTAATCAGCATAGCATTGTTACTATATTCTTGGTTTCGATGCAGGACCTTTATGGTCTGTATATCTCTAATCCTTCCACTGCAAACAGACACACAGTGGGCAGTAGCACAAAGTTTGGATATTATCACACAAGGAATGTGCATTATTAACCCCTGTGTGACCTGTATTTTATAGAATAAGCCAATCACTACTTCCTTTTATTTTTTTATAGGATGAATTCTGTTTTTTAAAAAGTTACATTTCATGAACATTTAGCGATTTATATAATCTTTCAAACGGAAAGTTCACAAAAAGTTGGAGGCAAGCGCACATTTTAGTTGAAAAACATAAAACCAAGCTCTTGCACAATGCATTCTCAGAAACAGCCTGTGTTCTAACTGAGGCTGAAAGTAAACTGCTATAATTTAACCCCTTAAGGACACATGACATGTGTGACATGTCATGATTCCCTTTTATTCCAGAAGTTTGGTCCTTAAGGGGTTAAGCAGACCTATTTGATACTACTTATTATACAGATGTGGGGGTCAGCATGACCTCCACATTGGTACAAAGGATGTATTATACTTCCCCCATGCCACCACTTTCCATGCCGTGAGTGCGGGTATTTCTGCTAAACTTTGTCGCTAATAACATACATCCTGCCCTCACCTGGGCTTCAATGTAAAGAATACAGTGTCTCCGTGGGGGGCTATAACTTAAATAAAAGAAGCAAGGGTGGGGAAACTGAGAATTGCATTTTTGGCCACTCAATTTTACTAAAGCAATCATCTGTCTCTCATTACTTTTTGCAAGCTATGCGCAGACATCCCGATCTACACGAGGTTAAAGCGGGAGGCAAGGAGTTTTTGATATCTGCATACGCCGATGATGTGCTTTTAACCACATCCCTTAGATTATATGAAGAATTACTGAATATAGCACAATATCTGGCTATAAAGTGAATATAGACAAGTCGAGTGCTCTCCCCATAGGCATGTTACCAGTGAACACGGCACGCATTCACGACATTCACCATATTCAAATTGAATCGGGCTCCATAAAATATCTGGGAAACAGACTGACTGTGACCCCTCTAAGTTTTATTGCCCCAATAACACCCCTATGATCAAAACTTTGATTAACCCCTTAAGGACCAAACTTCTGGAATAAAAGGGAATCATGACATGTCACACGTCATGTGTCCTTAAGGGGTTAAACATCTGGTTAGATGGATGGACAACCGATTTAATGGATTGGGAGAGTCCATTCTGTGAAAATGAATATCATGTCACACTTGTTGTTTATGTTCCAAGTGTTACCTTTACCCATTTACAAATCTGACTTAGCACCATTACAAAAGGCTATAGGCACTTTTATATGGCAGAATAAAAGACACAGAGTGCCCCAAACATACTAGATCGACCCAAGTCAGCTGGAGGGCTAGGATTGCCTCATCTTCACAATTACTAACTAACAGCCCAATTGGCTCAAATAGAGACATGGCACACATGCAAAAGATGAAAGAAAATGGGTAGATCTGGAGTCCCTCATGATGGGCACTGATCTCCCACAGTTCTACCTCTGGGTCCCTAAAGAGCATAGAGCGATGTTGCATACGGAATGTCCATCAATGCTGCATTCCCTCCAGGTCTGGGATATTACAGCAAAGAGGTACAGCATTGCATCGTTCCTCTGTCCCTTGATGCCATATCTGAGGAATTGCAAATTCCTTCCGGGCATGATTGCCCATGATTTTAGGAATATTGAAAGAACAGGATTACAAAGAATCTGGCAACTTTATGAGAACAATCAGGTCATTCCTTTTGCATATTTACAAGATAACGTCAGATTTCTTAGATATTTACAATTAAGATATTTCAGGAAAAAGGTACATGTCAAAGAGGCAGCTCATAAACCACTAAGTTTTTTGAGAAAATGTGTTTGGCTGAAACAACACAAAAATGACTACCGGTAATCACTATCCTATATAATCACATATCCTCACATACCTTTTAACATTTACATTTTTTTTTTTTTTTTTTTAAGGGAGAGGAATCTATTATTCATGCTCAATAGGGCATTGTATGCCTAATGGGGCTTTGTATGCCCAAAGATGTAAACTGTCAAAAAAAGGTTGGAGTAACCATTTAAGGGTTAATGTTGGAGGTCCAAATTTTCTTAATTATGCTACTTTATTGAGAGAAAGTCAAAATAACCAAAATGATTCCTCAGCTGAACAAACTGGGTAGAAAGGAAAATAAATTCAGAACACACACAATTCTACAATAAATCAGGAATAGTGGTGAACTGACAAGATAATTTCAATTTTGTTTAAGCAAAAATGGCCAAAAATTAGACTTAAGGCTTAGCTATTTTGGCCCAATATTTGTAATCCTCTAGCCAGTTACATATAATTTCAAATGCAGTAAATAAAATTCTTAATATCATGGATATTTTTTTTTTCCTCTCCTATAAAACTGCATTATTATGTGGCATGTTATTATTCATGTTATTACATAAGTGTATACCACGCAAAGTGACTAAATAAATAATGGAAGTAATGGCAAACTCTTCACTAGAAACCCACTTAAAATTTTGTTAATCTTTAAAGTGACCTGCTATGACAAACAAACTTTCTTGTTGAAAGAGGCAGATGTGATCTTCAGTTATGTATTTCTATTAAATCCTTTCATTTGCTGGTGATTTTGCCAGCACACTATGTAGATTATAGCTATAGCACTCACTTCTGCCTAACTTGCACATCATTTAACTAGTCCCCCCTACTTTACTTTTTGTTCATTAATAAGCACAATTGAGTTCAAGGCACACTGCACTGAAGGTGCACCTTTTGATCATGCATTTAATTAATTGGGTCTGTGAACAAGTCTGATTGCATTTCCATCCAAACAAAAATGGATCACTACTGTAAGCAGCGACATTTACGATAGAGGAAGATAAGAGTAAACCACTTTGTGCTTGTTATGCACCAATGAATGCACAATAAAGTAAACACCCTTATTCCTGGACAGAAGATTACATCCTACATTGTGACTGTTTGACGGTCTATTTAAATTTTTTTGGCATTATTACTCCTTACTGCTCACATGCAGACATTACGAAACAAATAGCATAATTATAAGGTTGCTAGGATTAGTAAAATATAGGATTAGCTACAAACCATTAGGGAGTTTGGTTAGAGGTACAGGAGAGACATGGTCAAATGGACTCGAGTAGTACTGGATCTCATCAGGGATTGCAGAAGGATGCATTTTTTTATCTCCTAAAATGATAGAAGAAACTAGTAGAGGCCCTCAATATCTTTTACAATTAAAAAGACATCCAGGAACTTGTTTTGCATTAAAAATAAACTTGAGTATTTGTATTAGTTAGGAGGACTCGTCTGGATTCTGGTGCAATAATATCCCCAAATACAGTTGATGTGCATTCATGAGTACATATTTATTGGATTGTAGTAAAGTGTTTTTTGGTTGTTTTTTATTTCTTTCAACTGAACATAATGGCACTTCAGTTTCCACAACTCTTGCTCATATTTATCACATTCCATTTGCAGGAAATGCCCTTTCCCGTTGTTCTACTCACACCTTGCTCATTTTCCAGATATTCTGCTTCTTGTATTTCCTCACTAATTCATAAGTACACCCATTGATACTCACCTTGCTGTGCTACATACTTTCTCCTGTTTCCTATTCATATCCATACTGCTAGTGCTCATCTAAAGGATTGCTTAAATGGACACTGTTGGTACCCAGACCACTTCATCTCATTCTTTTGAAGCTGCAATGATTACTTTGCAGGACTAAGACTGCCTCCAGTGGCTGTCTAGCAAACAGCCACTAGGGATGCTTCCAGGATTCTACTGGACTCTAAGTCCCTTAAACCAACCTAAACGTCCTCAAGCTCTGCATGATGACATCCAGCGTCAGTGAAAATCACATAGGAAAGCATTCCCCCCCTAACCCAAATAAAACATGTACCTAGTCTACATTTTTTTTTAAAGTACCTTAAAATACTAATAATCTGGCTTTCCAAAGTAATTTCCAGGCCATAGAAACATAGAAACATAGAATGTGACGGCAGATAAGAACCATTCGGCCCACCTAGTCTGCCCAATTTTCTAAATACTTTCATTAGTCCCTGGCCTTATCTTATAGTTAGGATAGCCTTATGCCTATCCCACGCATGCTTAAACTCTAATTTTATCAATGACAATCTGGAACACACGGATGACCCCAAACTACTAAAAAAAACGTCCAAAGCAGTCTGGGGAGCAAATAATCTCATTTGCTGCATCAGCTAAAAAGGCATGGAAACAAGACTTTACCTCCTTAGAAAATGTTCTCAAACAGGCACACAGACAATACATGATTGACCCCACCGAGGACCACAAACATCTATACAGAGAAGCTCAAAATGACCTAAACACTTTTATCGCGAACCATGCACAATCGAAATTAGACTTTCAACAACAACACTTCTTTAGGTGGGGTGGAAGGTCTGGGAAGCTCCTGGCCTGCCTGGCTAATCCTAAAACAAAATTCAAACCCATTACCGCTATCACCTCACCGGATAGCACTAGATGCACATCACATGAATTAATTAAGAAATTGTTTTATGATTACCACAGAAATTTAGCTAAGGCCCCGCCGGACAATCATGCCCAGAGCAAGAATTTTCTTAAAAGCCTAGCCCTTCCTCAACTTGATGTGGAGGCCAGGGAGCTCCTGAGTGAACCTATCACGGAGGAGGAAATACACAGAGCAATCAAAACACTGAAATCTGGGAAGGCACCTGGCCCAGATGGCTTCACGGCGGAATACTACAAAACCCTAAAGCTCCAAATCAGTCCAACCCTCAAACACCTATTGAACCAAATTTATCTTGAAGGTCTACCAATAGAAACTCTCAATGAGGCCTGAGTCATTCTTATCCCCAAATCAGACAGACTCAGAAGCCTTGGTCTCCTATCGACCATTCTCACTACTCAATCAAGATGTTAAGCTTCTCACTAAAATCATAACAATGAGAGTCCAAACGTTCCTACCTAACTTACTGACTTCCCACCAACTACGCTTTTTAAGGGGCAAGCAAGCAAGCATGGAGGTCCGGGGGCATTGGCGGCTGTGGCATGGGTTGCGAGGGGGACGCCGGGCATAAGAGCACCATCTCTTGTCGGACTAGACATAGAGAGGGCATTCGATAGTATCATCTGGCAGCATCTGATGCGGGTGTTAAAGTTACGATACTTTGGACACACTTTTGTAAACTTTATCTACAACCTAACCAACTGACTTGTGTAACAACAAACAGCATTGACTCCCCTCTGAAAAGGGGGGTGCGTCAGGGCTGCCCAATTTGCTATTATTCAATCTAGCAATTGATTCTTTACTACGAGCCATAGAAACCCTTTGGGGATTTAAGGGAATTCCAATGGGCAACACCACCTTGAAAGTCTCAGCCTTTGCTGATGATCAGGTCTCAAAATTAACTAGAACAAATCGTACGGCCTTCGACTGGGAAGCGGACAACCCTTGCCAATGCCGGATGGACTCCCCTTGAAATGGGAATCACAGGCACTCAAATACCTATGAATCAAAATTCCTAAAAACATCTCTTTCCTATACAAACTGAACATGCCTCCTGTAACGGACCGTTTCGCTCACAAGGGGATAAAAACCGTTTAGGCGATAATCCCCTTCCAGATAGACCAGCAGCTACTGCAATCACCAACCTCCCGAACTCCAAACTGCACGTATTCACCAACTCTCGAACAGCAGACACACGAACCCTGGAAGCAGCCGAACAGGAAAAGCCCTACGAACAGCTTACACTCCTGGCAATCGGCATACAGTCAAATTCCCCCAAGAATGAGACGACACTTCACTTTGAGGGTTAAACAGGAACAACCCTGCTGGCACACCCAGCCTGGTTTTTATTACAGTCTTGCACATACAGGACCGCCCACAGGGAGGTATAAAATAACCAATCAAATAACAGTTACAACCCACAATGCATCACAATCCCTCCTCCCTGGCCTGGAGATAATTGGAGAAGTAATCCAATTATCTCCAAGGACAGAGGCAAACTCCATTACACACATGGCAGACAAAAGACAGTAAAATACAATAAAATACACAAGGTTACATTTATACATAAAATACAGACATTCTACCTATCCCCAGATAGCTTAGATCTGAGCGCACGTTATTACCGGATGGCGCTTAGATCACATACATACAGTTCAATCGCCATGGAGCCAAAGTCTTTCATACAGTCTTTCAGTATACGGCTGGGCTCCATGGCATAGCTATCTGGGGTTGCATGGCTTTAACAGTCCGCAGAAAGGCACAAACCAGGGAAAAAGAACAGGGGCCATAGTCTAAAGGTAAGAGGCGGGCAAGCAGCCCCCTCCAAGGACACGTGGCAAGGTTGGTTTCGCCACACCTCCCATCATATTCTCAGAGCTTGACCATTGTCATAACTTACCCTTATCCTACATAGGAAGGGCAAATCTATACAAATTAGTTTTCCCAAACTACTATATCCACTTCAAGTCCTTCCCTTGCTCTTGCTACTCTCGAAACAGAATGAAACACTACTAAATAAGAAGCGTTGACAATTTTTATGGCAGGGCTGCAAACCACACCTTAGCCATAAAACCTATATTAATATACCGCTCAAGGGGGACTAAACTTGCCAAATGCTAAGGAGTATAGCCTAGCAGTGCAACTAAGACATTCACTGGATTGAATCCAATCCCAGAATAGGTTTTCAAAGTTGCTGTTGGAGTCCTTCCTGGCGGAGCCGGACTCACTGCTGGCTCTCCTGCACAGGCCACACCACCTCCTCCCAAATAAAATCCTTACAAGCCCACTTATACATACCCCAATCAGGGCCTAGAAACAAGCCCGATCTAAAATGGGAGCTCACCCTATAAAATCGCTGCACGTGCCTCTCACTCGCAACACTAACTTTGCCCCTGGTACCGACTATCCCTTCCCACTGTGGGAGGACCGGGGTGTCACGGCTCCCTGCTCCTTAGTAGACCACACGGGTCAAAGATTTTTAACGCTAGCAGAGATACGGGAGAGATTCCCGGACCTTCCAACCCCATGGTTTGCATACCTCCAGGTGAGGCACTACTACCACTCTATCACTCAAACTCTCACAGAAGCGGACTGGGAGAACCCTTTAGATACTATGCTGTGCTTCTCGACATGAGCCACTTATTCCACATCTAAACTCTACATGTTCATACGATACACTCCAGACTGGACTGGTCTTCAAACAGGCATGGTAAAATGGAAAACCCACTTCCCTGAAATAACTCCTACAGACATCCTGAGGGCGCACCAAGCCCAATGCCAAACCCTGCCTATCGTCTCTTACAGAGACATGTTTCTAAAGACCCTACACTACGCTTATTATTCACCACACAGACTACATCTAATGGCTAGGAAAGACTCAGCGACCTGTTTCAAATGTACACACACAAAAGCCGACTTATATCACTGTCTGTGGGAGTGCACACTACCATTGACCCCAGAGTTCTTGCTCCTGGGACTTATCCAGGGTCAACCCCCAACTAATAAACGATTCCTCTTCATAATCACAGCTACTGGACGCATAGCCATTTTGCAGGTCTGGAACCAGTCGAACACTCTACAATTATTTTTATCTAAACTCAAATTTATTTTCAAAATGGACTAACCAACAAAGAAACCCTTGCCGTGGTGCGTGGCCTGACTGTAGACCTGCATGACCGCATAATCTGAGGGCTCCCGCTCATCCACTTTAAATCCAGCATGCACCAGCAGCATCCACTAGCACAAACCACAGCAATCCAGTGCATAATGTCTACCTTGAGCACTGGGGCAAAATGAACGCGTAAGAAGAGGAGGGAAGGACAAGATTCCAGCCTAACAGTGGCAGACATGTTTTTCGCCTCACGCTCCAACCAGGCAGCACAAGATGGCCGCCACCTCAGCTCGCGTGTCTCCCTCTCACCAGCATCTACAGCAGGCAGTGAGATGCCTGAAAGAGCAATGGAGGACACATTGAAATCCTCACCAAGCTGCTTGAAGTCAGGAACTACCTGGCTGAAGAAATAACATGGCGCTCCTGCGAACCTAGAAGACATGGTTGAGAACATAGTACGGGCCCATAACACCACCGTAGCCAACTCACACTCCATGGACAGACAGCTAAATGACCGTGGAGGACCTAGCAAATAGGTCCAGGCGAAACAACCTTAGAATCCAGGGCCTACCGGGGGCACCCAACAAGGGCTCTTTGGTGGGAAAAATGGAGCACTATTTCAAACATCTTTTGCCAGACATCCCTGACGACAAATGGGTGATCAATCGGGCACACCGTGAGCTGCGCGCCCAAAGAACAGAGGGCTCCATGCCCAGAGACATCACAATGCGATTTCACTTCTCTCCACAAAGGAAGCAGTCCTGTGATACAACAGAGAGCATGAGATGACCTACCAAGACGCCACCATAGCCATATACCAGAATCTCTCTCCCTCCATCCTGCAGAGATGCCACGAGTGAAAGCCCATCACGGATCAACTGAGGCAGAGGGACATACGCTACACTTGGGGTCACCCATTTAAGCTTGTGACATTCAAGGATGGGAAAACAACCCTGCAACCAGGTGATGACCTGACCCAGTTCCTCCTTAAAATGGGCATCGCAGCACCACCTAAGTTGAACCTCCCCAAGCCAAATCTCCCTGAGCTTTCCTCTCTCCCAAGAGACTGGTATACTGTGAAAGATACAACGCAGCGCCACACCTGAGTGACACTGGCAGAGATCGTAACGGCACACCAGTGAAAACATTTACTCCAAGAACTGTCTGGTTATCCCACAACTGAAGCTCAGCTAAGTGTATCATAAAGGGGCTCTTGTGGGATACTGGACTGTGGGGGCTGACTTAACCGAGAAAGGAATGTTTATTGTTTAGATAGCGGATGGGGAAGGGAGGGGGGGAGATGTAAATAAGTTGAATTAAATGCATTGTACGGTTGGCATACTACATAGCTTAAAGAGAGGCGCAGTAGGGATCAGCTTTTAAGCGCTCCTGCCTAGTTAGGTCTCTGCACAGTAGCAAGGTACCACAGGAAAATGACAGGAACCTTTACAAAACTCAAAGAGAGTATTACTGTCCCAGCAGGTGCATTGCGCACTGTAGCCGACAGCCGTTCCCATGGCAGCCCACTCCAACAGCTTCCACACTGTGAAAGACTAAGACAGGGCCCCTATTGAACTGAACCCCCCAACATATGCAGGGGACCTCACATACCCGGCCGCTCCGGCATAAGGTCGGTGACATACCCTAGGAATACTATTTGCCACCTCGCCAAATTAGGACAGGCCATCCGCCCCCAGATTAAATAGGATTTCATACTGTAGCACAGACAAAGGGGCAACACAGCAGCCAGGCCCCAAACGGGGCACTCCATTGCCCAGCTCTTGAATGGCAGTGGGGGCGCATGTCCTTAACTCCAAGGGTGGGTATCAAGGTTTCAGGGGGGAGGGCGCATATGTCCACCCCTTTCCACTACACCACAGATACAAAACCCTGAAAAGTATCAGAGGGAAGGGAGCATGAGCTCTGATAGTGGATAAGAGCGGGATCGGCCACTCCTTATTTTGGCAACCTGTAAGACCAAAAAACAATGCAAATATCTGTAGGTTCTTAACATGTTTTGTTTTGTTTATTGGCTCATGGAGTAATTTCACTTATGGCTCAAGATGGCGATACCAAGATACAAGGCACACACACAACCCTCACAGACACTCCCATAGGGGCGGCACCTTACAGAGGGGCATGCAACCCACACCTCCACAAAACCAGGACCTCAGCAAACTAACCCTTCACACCCATGGCCCTTAAGATAGTTTCAATGAATGTTAAAGGCATTAACACCCCAAATAAACATAGACTTATGTTGAGAGAAAATAAAGAAAAATAGCGGGCATAGTGCTCCTCCGGGAGACACACCTCCCCAGGTCGGCACCCACTTCGCTGAGGGACAGGACGTACACCACAGCACATGAGGCGAGAAGTAACAGAAAAAAGTCAGGGATAGCAGTGCTTACTCATAAACACTGCCCATATGTAATCACAAATAGCCAAGCAGACCCCAAGGGCGTTATTTAGTGGGGATGGGAACTCTTCACAATATAAAACTTAGTATCATCAATGTTTATGCCCCCAATGAACCAGATATCTCCTTCTGGACCTCATTGGAAACCCTCACGAAAAACATTGGTGGGGGGTTGTTGTGGTGGACAGGAGTGCGAAACCAGGGACCCTGAGATCTCAGGGCAAAGGGGGACAGGACAAACTCCTTCATAGGTTCTTGACCCTATGGGCCTATTAGATGCCTGAAGACTGCAACATCCTGGTGCACAAGACTACACATTTTACTTAAACCCACATGACACTTACTCGAGAATCGACAACATATTTCTAAACGACATTGGCATGAATAAAGTGATTCACTCAGAAATCAATAGCATTACATGGTCTGACCATGCAAACATAGCAATGACACTAAGTAAACTACAATACAGCGCTAACTGGACGTGGAAGCTGAATTCTAATCTTCTAAAAGACGAGGATGTACTGACCTCCCCTAAAGAGGCTTTCACAAACTATTTCAATACTCCACACCAAAAATCAACCCCACCATGCTTTGGGCGGCACACAAAATGGTAATAAGGGGACACCTCATTTGGCTAGCCACCCATAAAAGGCAGCGCAAGACAAAACTCATATTGGAGCTACAGTCAGCTCTGCGAAAGCTAGAACAACAGCACAAAAATAAACCCAACTGCACCTAAACTAGCTGAACTGAATGCGATAAACAATGTCTGTGGGTGCTCTACCAAAATTATATATCTAACTGGGTTTGTAGATTAATAATAAAAATTTTAAAAATTGCATTTCAGGAGCCTGTTGCCTAGACCCTTTACTGCAGCTTGATTACAGTGTACGTGAACTTTCATATTTGCCTGTATAGGGCAATGGAGGACAGTGTATGTGGGGGGGGTATGTTGGGCCAGCACTCTAAGCCAATCACAGCTACCTAAAGCTGAGCAGGCCAATACATTTGTCCATTGTGGAGGATCTGCGCTATGAGCTCAATGAAACCCCCAGTTATTGTGAGAGTCTCAATGCACCATAATCACTGAAGTGGTGTAGTAGCTATGAAGTTTAGAGTGCTTCTTCAATTAAATAAATTTGATTCGTGTCAATAGCAATTACATATTCCTGCAATTTAAAATAAAACAATACAGTTCTTTCTAAAAAATACTGGATATGGTACTTTCATATTTTCCTAAATAAACTTTCATGCCTTTTAAAATCACTTATGCATTTTACATGTTAATATTCCTATATTTATTGCTATCATCAGCTTAACAACATTCAATTATCTAAATTAACGCAGGAAATAAAAACTTGGAAAATGCTAAATTCTTTCAGTGGCATTTAATTGTTTCAAAAAGATATCCAAGCTATAAATTAAGCTTGATCCTCGATACCTTGTGCAATAAAGGACCAAGAAGGGGTGAAATAAAATATAATCAGATAAATTATATTATATTATATAATACATATATAATATAAATTATACATTATATTAATATTATATAATCATGTCTGCGTAGTTTATTCTTAAATTTCTATAAGCAGATAAAAAGTTCCAGGAAACTGGTGAATTTGAAGTTCTATATATTGCTCAAATTGAAATAAAAAATAATTGCTATAAGAGTAGTATAAGTATTTAAAAAATAAATTAACAAAGGAAAGTTGCCAAGAAGAATTACATTATGCTTATATGCTTAACATAAAATTAAACTATAATGTCTCACCTGCTCCAGAGGCATGCAGGACCATAGGCAAACTAAACAGTGTCGCACACAGTTGGTACATCATTGTGTTACCCTCGTACTAATTTCTCCACGCAGAATGGCGTGGTACCACGAATAGTTGTCCTTTATTTATTTCTACAAACACTCAGTGCTTAACTGAACGCAGCACCTCACAGTTAAATATTTATGAAGATCCCAATTTAATTTTCTATTATTTTTCTTCCCCTTGGGAGGGGTTGGAAAAAGTAGTTGGACTCCCTCTGAGATGCTGAACTAGACTCTTAAATATTTTTTTCTAAAAGGCTTATGTGGGAGGGTCATGGTTTAAGAGAAGGTGCACACACTCCTGTAATAGGCAGCCTATTCCAGTCTGGTCGGACCTGTGAATTTGTTTGTAGAGGGCACTGGCCCATGTTACCACCAATTAAACATCTAACACAAGGAAATTGCAGAATTGTCATTGAACTGAGCTAAGCTTCTATTTTGTATGTGACCTTCACATAAAATAAAATTAAAAAACACATACAATGCCAGTGAGGGACTTCAGAATGTTTATTCACCACAATGATCAATAGCATTTGTATTTGACAATACAGCGGCAAAATCTACTTTAAAGATTCTGATAGTATATTGTGTTTTATGAAATATTTTTTTCAGTCACATTAAGCATGATGTTTACACATTAAAAGCATTATGTTTTGGATTTTCATCTTTGTTTTTTTTTTTTAAAACATTTAAATGGTTATATATTAAATATTAAATGGTCACAGGTCACGGTTTATTTCAAATGTCCAGTAATGCAAAGAGTTAAAATCGTAGATATCTGTGCTGCAGCACCATTACATAATTACAATGTTTGTCACTGCACTCAATAGGTTAATCAGCATAGCATTGTTACTATATTCTTGGTTTCGATGCAGGACCTTTATGGTCTGTATATCTCTAATCCTTCCACTGCAAACAGACACACAGTGGGCAGTAGCACAAAGTTTGGATATTATCACACAAGGAATGTGCATTATTAACCCCTGTGTGACCTGTATTTTATAGAATAAGCCAATCACTACTTCCTTTTATTTTTTTATAGGATGAATTCTGTTTTTTAAAAAGTTACATTTCATGAACATTTAGCGATTTATATAATCTTTCAAACGGAAAGTTCACAAAAAGTTGGAGGCAAGCGCACATTTTAGTTGAAAAACATAAAACCAAGCTCTTGCACAATGCATTCTCAGAAACAGCCTGTGTTCTAACTGAGGCTGAAAGTAAACTGCTATAATTTAACCCCTTAAGGACACATGACATGTGTGACATGTCATGATTCCCTTTTATTCCAGAAGTTTGGTCCTTAAGGGGTTAAGCAGACCTATTTGATACTACTTATTATACAGATGTGGGGGTCAGCATGACCTCCACATTGGTACAAAGGATGTATTATACTTCCCCCATGCCACCACTTTCCATGCCGTGAGTGCGGGTATTTCTGCTAAACTTTGTCGCTAATAACATACATCCTGCCCTCACCTGGGCTTCAATGTAAAGAATACAGTGTCTCCGTGGGGGGCTATAACTTAAATAAAAGAAGCAAGGGTGGGGAAACTGAGAATTGCATTTTTGGCCACTCAATTTTACTAAAGCAATCATCTGTCTCTCATTACTTTTTGCAAGCTATGCGCAGACATCCCGATCTACACGAGGTTAAAGCGGGAGGCAAGGAGTTTTTGATATCTGCATACGCCGATGATGTGCTTTTAACCACATCCCTTAGATTATATGAAGAATTACTGAATATAGCACAATATCTGGCTATAAAGTGAATATAGACAAGTCGAGTGCTCTCCCCATAGGCATGTTACCAGTGAACACGGCACGCATTCACGACATTCACCATATTCAAATTGAATCGGGCTCCATAAAATATCTGGGAAACAGACTGACTGTGACCCCTCTAAGTTTTATTGCCCCAATAACACCCCTATGATCAAAACTTTGATTAACCCCTTAAGGACCAAACTTCTGGAATAAAAGGGAATCATGACATGTCACACGTCATGTGTCCTTAAGGGGTTAAACATCTGGTTAGATGGATGGACAACCGATTTAATGGATTGGGAGAGTCCATTCTGTGAAAATGAATATCATGTCACACTTGTTGTTTATGTTCCAAGTGTTACCTTTACCCATTTACAAATCTGACTTAGCACCATTACAAAAGGCTATAGGCACTTTTATATGGCAGAATAAAAGACACAGAGTGCCCCAAACATACTAGATCGACCCAAGTCAGCTGGAGGGCTAGGATTGCCTCATCTTCACAATTACTAACTAACAGCCCAATTGGCTCAAATAGAGACATGGCACACATGCAAAAGATGAAAGAAAATGGGTAGATCTGGAGTCCCTCATGATGGGCACTGATCTCCCACAGTTCTACCTCTGGGTCCCTAAAGAGCATAGAGCGATGTTGCATACGGAATGTCCATCAATGCTGCATTCCCTCCAGGTCTGGGATATTACAGCAAAGAGGTACAGCATTGCATCGTTCCTCTGTCCCTTGATGCCATATCTGAGGAATTGCAAATTCCTTCCGGGCATGATTGCCCATGATTTTAGGAATATTGAAAGAACAGGATTACAAAGAATCTGGCAACTTTATGAGAACAATCAGGTCATTCCTTTTGCATATTTACAAGATAACGTCAGATTTCTTAGATATTTACAATTAAGATATTTCAGGAAAAAGGTACATGTCAAAGAGGCAGCTCATAAACCACTAAGTTTTTTGAGAAAATGTGTTTGGCTGAAACAACACAAAAATGACTACCGGTAATCACTATCCTATATAATCACATATCCTCACATACCTTTTAACATTTACATTTTTTTTTTTTTTTTTTTAAGGGAGAGGAATCTATTATTCATGCTCAATAGGGCATTGTATGCCTAATGGGGCTTTGTATGCCCAAAGATGTAAACTGTCAAAAAAAGGTTGGAGTAACCATTTAAGGGTTAATGTTGGAGGTCCAAATTTTCTTAATTATGCTACTTTATTGAGAGAAAGTCAAAATAACCAAAATGATTCCTCAGCTGAACAAACTGGGTAGAAAGGAAAATAAATTCAGAACACACACAATTCTACAATAAATCAGGAATAGTGGTGAACTGACAAGATAATTTCAATTTTGTTTAAGCAAAAATGGCCAAAAATTAGACTTAAGGCTTAGCTATTTTGGCCCAATATTTGTAATCCTCTAGCCAGTTACATATAATTTCAAATGCAGTAAATAAAATTCTTAATATCATGGATATTTTTTTTTTCCTCTCCTATAAAACTGCATTATTATGTGGCATGTTATTATTCATGTTATTACATAAGTGTATACCACGCAAAGTGACTAAATAAATAATGGAAGTAATGGCAAACTCTTCACTAGAAACCCACTTAAAATTTTGTTAATCTTTAAAGTGACCTGCTATGACAAACAAACTTTCTTGTTGAAAGAGGCAGATGTGATCTTCAGTTATGTATTTCTATTAAATCCTTTCATTTGCTGGTGATTTTGCCAGCACACTATGTAGATTATAGCTATAGCACTCACTTCTGCCTAACTTGCACATCATTTAACTAGTCCCCCCTACTTTACTTTTTGTTCATTAATAAGCACAATTGAGTTCAAGGCACACTGCACTGAAGGTGCACCTTTTGATCATGCATTTAATTAATTGGGTCTGTGAACAAGTCTGATTGCATTTCCATCCAAACAAAAATGGATCACTACTGTAAGCAGCGACATTTACGATAGAGGAAGATAAGAGTAAACCACTTTGTGCTTGTTATGCACCAATGAATGCACAATAAAGTAAACACCCTTATTCCTGGACAGAAGATTACATCCTACATTGTGACTGTTTGACGGTCTATTTAAATTTTTTTGGCATTATTACTCCTTACTGCTCACATGCAGACATTACGAAACAAATAGCATAATTATAAGGTTGCTAGGATTAGTAAAATATAGGATTAGCTACAAACCATTAGGGAGTTTGGTTAGAGGTACAGGAGAGACATGGTCAAATGGACTCGAGTAGTACTGGATCTCATCAGGGATTGCAGAAGGATGCATTTTTTTATCTCCTAAAATGATAGAAGAAACTAGTAGAGGCCCTCAATATCTTTTACAATTAAAAAGACATCCAGGAACTTGTTTTGCATTAAAAATAAACTTGAGTATTTGTATTAGTTAGGAGGACTCGTCTGGATTCTGGTGCAATAATATCCCCAAATACAGTTGATGTGCATTCATGAGTACATATTTATTGGATTGTAGTAAAGTGTTTTTTGGTTGTTTTTTATTTCTTTCAACTGAACATAATGGCACTTCAGTTTCCACAACTCTTGCTCATATTTATCACATTCCATTTGCAGGAAATGCCCTTTCCCGTTGTTCTACTCACACCTTGCTCATTTTCCAGATATTCTGCTTCTTGTATTTCCTCACTAATTCATAAGTACACCCATTGATACTCACCTTGCTGTGCTACATACTTTCTCCTGTTTCCTATTCATATCCATACTGCTAGTGCTCATCTAAAGGATTGCTTAAATGGACACTGTTGGTACCCAGACCACTTCATCTCATTCTTTTGAAGCTGCAATGATTACTTTGCAGGACTAAGACTGCCTCCAGTGGCTGTCTAGCAAACAGCCACTAGGGATGCTTCCAGGATTCTACTGGACTCTAAGTCCCTTAAACCAACCTAAACGTCCTCAAGCTCTGCATGATGACATCCAGCGTCAGTGAAAATCACATAGGAAAGCATTCCCCCCCTAACCCAAATAAAACATGTACCTAGTCTACATTTTTTTTTAAAGTACCTTAAAATACTAATAATCTGGCTTTCCAAAGTAATTTCCAGGCCATAGAAACATAGAAACATAGAATGTGACGGCAGATAAGAACCATTCGGCCCACCTAGTCTGCCCAATTTTCTAAATACTTTCATTAGTCCCTGGCCTTATCTTATAGTTAGGATAGCCTTATGCCTATCCCACGCATGCTTAAACTCTAATTTTATCAATGACAATCTGGAACACACGGATGACCCCAAACTACTAAAAAAAACGTCCAAAGCAGTCTGGGGAGCAAATAATCTCATTTGCTGCATCAGCTAAAAAGGCATGGAAACAAGACTTTACCTCCTTAGAAAATGTTCTCAAACAGGCACACAGACAATACATGATTGACCCCACCGAGGACCACAAACATCTATACAGAGAAGCTCAAA